ACCTAAATATGGTGTCAACATTTTCTTCTCCCAACTAAAGCTCAAGTTTCTTGTTGAACAACTACACTTCTCACAAAAACACTGCAACAGATTACTAGATTCTAAAAATGTAGAACAAATCCCATCTTTGGGGTAACGGCTGGTCTGTGAGTGAAATAAACAGGCTGTATTATTCACAGAGGAGCTTAGGGCGGCCCTGACTGCTGTTGAGGAAGATGGAGGCGGTCCCAGAGAGCTCCGAGTCAAAAGAAAAGCTGATACACAGGCACATAAAAAATGCATAGACGCAACTTAAAGCCGAATAAAAAATGCATGGTCTAACAAAGCAGAAATAGAAAGCAGAAAGAAGGCTTCAACTTTTAGCAACTTTTAGCACACAGGCGTAAAAACACGACCTTTCAATGACCTCCCCAGAAATCAGAACACACCTCGACATCAGGCTGCTAGATTATGGTAAAAACCGCATGTTTCAGAAAGTCTGGAAACATTAGTTATTTATTGGATTTAAATAAAATGTTTCTGCACCTGCAGGCTCTGCTGCTTGGTCCTCCATTTGATGAGCAGATTCTTGTAGAGAAGACTTCTCGTTTGGTTCCAGACTCCAGCGTCTCTTCTGTACACAGGCTGCATGCTCCCAGCATTCCTCATGTGGATAACGTACGGACGAGAGGTCCTCTCACTAATCCTGGCCTCAGCTGCAAGGGACATAGATGGCAGAGAAGAAATTAAAAGGCCCGGACATTATGCACTCGAGCAGGAGGACTTAAGACAGTGAATCAATACAGCAATCATCAGTTAGTCTGCAGTTATCCCACAGACTAACTGATGCTTTATTTCCCTCTAGCATCTTAAAGGCTGCTTTGCTTTGTGATGATGAAATATTAAACTTTCAGCTCGTTCTGACTCCAAACTGCTGCAAAAAATATTAACAAATTCTCAGGGGGAGGATTCATTTATGTGACCTGGAGGCAGTTACTTTAAGGATGTCTGTTCAAACTGCAACATCAGGGCTCGCAAAATTTCAAAGTCCCTGGTCGCCCTTCGGGCAGGGACTCTTCAGTTTTTGGTAGCCCAAAATAAATTTAAGTAGCCCAAATAAAAAAGAGAGCAAATTTTTGATTGATGTTTTGTTTCCTGTTTTGTTTCCGTTACAATATTATACATTAAAGTATAATATTGTAACGGAAACAAAACATTAATCAAAAAAT